AGAGCACCTATGGGCTCTTAATTGGAACCATACTAGGCGCATTCTCTTTGCCAGCACTGTCACCATGTGCATGCTGCTCCTGTGGCTCCTGTGGAATGTGTAGGTGACATGGAATGTGTGGGTGTGGCTCTGGTGGGGATGAGGATGCAATGGGGGTACGGCACAACAGTGGTGTCATTCCCTCTCTGTACGGAAGGTGGCGCTGCTGCTCCCCTTGAAGAAGAATTCAAATCCTGGCAAGCCTGTACTCCTCTACCTCCCTCCTCCTAAATGGCCTTGAGGCTTTGTGGCATCCTTGTCACATAGCATAGGCATCTTCACTAGTGTGTGAGAGACTAATGCTGCTTCCAGCACTATGTTCCTGAGGGGCACCCATTTCTCATGCTTTAAAAATCCCCCCCCCCGAAGGCCAACGAGATGGCTCAGAGGGCAAAGGCACTTGCCTTGTGTGGTGGTTGAAAGAAAATGGCTCCCAAAGTGAGTGGCACTATTAGGAGGTCTGGAGTACATGTGGTCTTGTTGGAGGAAGAGTGTCACTGTAGAAATGGGCTTTGAGGTCTCATAGACACTCATGATGCCACCCAATGACACAGTTCACATCCTTTTGCCCTCTGATCAAGAGGTAGCCAGCACCATGCCTCCCTGCCATGATGATAATGGACTGAACCCTGAACTTAAGCTGCCTTACAGTGTCTCTTCACAGCAGCAGAAACTCTAAGACATCAGGCAAATCTGACAGTTGGAGTTCAATCTCCAGAACCTACAGTGGAGGGAGAAAACTAACCCCTAAAAGTTGAGAACCAACTCCCCAAAGTTATCCTCTGCCTTCCACATGTGCTCTCTCTCTCTCTTTCTGTGTCTCCTCTTTCTCCTTTCTCTGTCATCTCTCCTTTCTCTCTCCTCTTTCACACATACACAGACAATAAATGAATTTAAAATTTTAAAAAGTTCCTGAGGATCCAGGCATAGTATCGAATACCTGTAATCTAAATACTCGAGAGAGCCAAGAGGATCAGGAGTTCAAGGTCATTCATAGGGTTATATGAGTTAGAAAATAGCAGGTGCTGCAGAAGATCTGCCCCAGAACAAACATACAAGGAGAATCCTGATTTTAAACAACAAACAAGAACACCCACAAATCCAGCCACCACGACTCCACCCTTGGTTGCCTTCCGTTCTTTGCTTTGAATTCACTGCTGAGCCAGCAGGGTCACCATGCCTGCTGATCTGCAAACTCACAGGGTCAGGGCTGCTGAGGTCCTTTGAGGGGGACAGGCCAGTTTAGTCACTGAAGCAGAAATTAAAACTATGACTGCTTAAAATGATCTCTTCATGCCAGGCACGGCAGAGGCCGGTGGATCTCTGAGTTCGAGGCCAGCTTGGTCTACAGAGTGAGTTCCAGGACAGCCAGAGCTATTACACATAGAAACCCTGTCTTATAAAAACATTAAAAAAATAAACAAATAAATACATACATTCTTGCTATCCTGCAAATAAAGCCTTTTTTTTTTTTTTTTTTTTTTTTTTTTATCCAGCTTCTGTATGCCTTGTGTGTGGTAGGGACAGGGGACTTGGGGGTAGGGGTAGAACCTGGGGTCTTAATCTGCTGGGTTGTGCTCTACCCCTCACCCCAACCCAGCCCCAGCCATTCTAAAACAATGAGACACAAGGGGTAACCCGTAGACAGCTCTTAGTTCAGTTTCTTGCCCTTCAACCTATTCTTACCAGTGTTTCACAGGTGGGAAGACAGAGGCAGACAGGTCCCAGTTGCCTAGGTTACAGGGAGATAAGAGACAAGGCTCCTTAAACACAAGAATCAAGAGAACAGCCTGGTGGCCCGGTTGCTTTGCTGTGATAAGGGATCTGATAAAAGTGACTTTAAGGGGAGGGTTGACTTTAGCTCACATTTCCAGAGGGATACAGGTCATCATGTCAGGAAAGACATGGCAGCAGGATGGGAAAGCAATGGTGATGGGGGCAAGAGGCTGCATGGCCACAGTTTTTCCTCCCAGAGAAGAGATCAAAGAGTGCAGCTGCTCAAGCAGGCTAGGCTGCCTTCACAGTCAGGGAGCAGGTACCACCCCCATAGCCAGTCCCAGTTTCTTTTCCTTCCTTCCTTTCTTTCTTCCTTTCTTTTTAAAATTCAAAACGGGGTATCCCTGGCTGTCCTGGATCTCACTCTATAGACCAGGCCACCCTTGAACTCAGAGATCGGCCTGCCTCTGCTTCCCAGTGCTGGGTGGAACTAAGGGAATGTGCCATTGCCCAGCATATTTTCTTTTTATTTTGTAAGACAGGGATTCATGTAACCCAAGCTGGAACACGCAATGCACACACACACACCAAACAAATGAGTAAGATGCTGAAGTTAGTAATAACATGATAATACTGCTTTGGGGGAAGGAGTTGCTTTTGGCTTTTGCTTGCTTACTGGGTGGTTAACATGGCAGAGGTTTTCTGTGTTCTGATAACTGATTAGGAGCTGGGTTCTTTCCTCCTCCTTGTTGCACTTCCTTTGAGCAACTCCATCCATCTTGTGTGATTGGCATATATGTACTCTAAGCCTGCCAGCCAGAGCGCCTCTCCCCAGAGACCCAAGAGATTGGATGTCAGACTGGGAGATAGTGGTGTGACATTGTTGCTACTGGAGCTTCCTCCCCAGCTGCATGGAGAGGAGCAAAGGGGATGGACTTCACAGGAGGCCCTGGACCCCAGTGTTGCTACCATATGTCCATCCTTGGAGGCCCCATTGTCTTCACTGAGACCAAACATAATTGGTGGATAATTTATAAAGAATAGTTTATTTGGTTCCCTGCTCCAAGAGGTGGGACAGCAAGCTGGAGGGGCAGCCCCTGAGGACGGCCTTCAGCCGAGACACACAGTGATCAATCGCAGAAGTGCCTAGTGTGTTTTGATCAGGACCCATTTTCTCCAAAACCAGTCTGAGACAATCACACAAGACCAATCCAGCTGGGTGTGCTGGTACACAGCCCTTTGATCACAGTGCTAGGGAAGTAGAGACAGGTAGATCTCTGACTTCAAGGCCAGCCTGGTCTACTAGAGGATTCTAGAGGCACATGAAGATATTCTGTCTCAGAAAGAAGAAAGGAAGGAAGGAAAGAAGGGAGAAAGAAAGAAAGAAAAAGAAAGAAAGAAAGAAAGAAAAGAGGGAGGGAGGGAGAAAAGGAAGGAGGGAGGGTAAAGAGGTGGGGGCTGGAAAGATGGCTCCATGGTTAAGAGCAGGTACTGCTTTTCCAGGGAACCCCAGTCCTTTCCTGGCATTCACATAGCGATCAGGAAACAGTGCTCTGTGACTCCAGATTCCAGGGGATCCAAAGCTTCTGGCCTCCATAGGCTCTGGCACTCGAAAGCACCGCTCCCCCCAGCACACTTAACATAACTCTTAATATACATTCTTAATATAGTTAAGAATATTTTTAAGCACTAATATGTTCATAAGAGCCCTGCCTTAATCACTGTCTGGTTTCCACAGTTTGATGCTGCAGCCCATAGTCCCACACCAGATGCCAGAGCCAGAGCTTGAAAACAAAATGTGTTCCTTAGATTCTCTGACTCCAAGCAGTCAGTGCACATCTGGAAAACCTCACCTGCGCAGATGCTTGATGCTATTTACTCATGTAGAGAAAGCAGAGCCCTTCTCGGCCTTTCTCTCTGAAGGGTCCAGGAACATAGAAATATAAAATTGTAAGCCTAAACGTATTTTGAAAAAGAAAATAAAGCCTCATCCACTGTTAACCTTTAACAACCACTTTCTGCCTTAAGAGCAGATGACACCCTGGCAGCCACTGTGTACAGAGGTAACTTTAACAGTTGTCTCCCGCCTCCCGGCTTCCCAGCAGACAAAGGTTAGCGTCTAACCATTTCCTCTGTGGGACCCTCTCAGTTGCAGTCCCTTAATTTTTAACTGTCCTCCTACGTGACTCTACGCTCTGCCTTGCATTCTTTCTGGAACAGTGAAAAGCGGATGTGTCAGCCACAGGCTTTCCCAAGCATCCTAAGTTAACATCCTACCGTCCACTAACCAAAAGTTGCAAAACTTAAAATGTAATGTGACTTAAGCCTGCCCTCAAGGTTGCAAAAGCTCTTTGACCACACTGGTGCTTGATTTTCCTATAAGAGGAGGCCCAAAACCAATCCCCATTGCAGTTTCAGAAGCCATATCTCTGGCTGTGGTCCCAGTTAACTGGAAAGCTTTTTGTGCCCCGAGGTGATTTTCCCCCTCTGGAATAAAGCTTGCTTCTGGTTTAATAGATTTTGGTGGTCTGTCCCCAAAGCAGTCATTGAGCAACCAGGACCCAACACCTCCAAATGAAGGTGAAACCACTGGACTGGAAGATACTGGCAAATTAGCAGCTAGAAGCACCAGGCTCTCTTGGGGGACAGGCCCTGAGGTCCCTCCTCCGGTAGTCTCAGACTGATGATAAACTTAAGGATACCACTAAGCGACCTGGCAGGCACCCTGGCCTCTGAGCACTTGTCAGGGCCAGCAAGGGACTGCACTCAAGACTGGTCCTGGCTGTGGGTGGTGGCTGTTTTGGGGACTCATCTTGCTTTCTAAATAGCAGCAGAGAGCCCTGGATGAAATATGTTTCTGGGGCACTTCTGAGGACTCCTGAGTAACTGTGATGCCTTCAGCCTCAGGCTTTTCCAGACTCTATGGAAACTGGCTGTTTGCTGGCTTGGAAGAACAAGTGCCAGGTGCCAGGTGGAAACATTTGAGCAGCTGCTGTGTTAAAAGCGGCCCGGGGATCACTAACTGCAGTCCTAGTGGCAGTAAGCCCTTCCCGGAGTGCCTCTAGCATAGGCAGGGGCCCTTGAATCTCAGCCCTAGCATAGTGGACTACTGTGGAGCTGGGGACAGCTGAGGGAGTTTAATCTACCTTGGTGTGTCTGAATTGAAGGTCCTCACTCAAGTTGCCTTTCTTTAGTAAAGGTTAATTTATCCAGGACCAGCAAGGACAAAGGCTTCTCTGGGCGCCATGACTGGTGAGGTGATGCCTCCAGATGCTATTTCCTCAGCCCCTGGGAGCCAGACTCCACATGTGGCCTGAGATTCAACTCTCAGAGACTCTGTCTGTGAGATGGACATGAGGAGGCTTGTTGGGCTCCTTTGAGGTAGAAGAGGATGCACATGTGTGGGAATGCAGCTGGTGTTCTTCAGGTTCTCAGACTTCAGGGTGCTCTGGAGTTAGGGTTATCCTTCTTTGTTATCCTGAGCCAAGGGCAAGGTCTGTGTTTTGTACCACTGTACCTACTGGTTATTGCTGTGAGCTGCTTTTGGTTGAACATATAAAACCCAGAGCAAGACTCTCTGTAACAGGCTGGGCGGTGGTGGTGCAGGCCTTTGATCCCAGCACTTAGGAGGTAGAGGTAAGCAAATATCTGTGAGTTCCAGGCCAGCCTGGTCTACAGAGCTAGGTCCAGGACAGCTAGAGCTATTACACAGAGAAACACAAAAACACAAAACAAAACTCCCTCCAGTGAAGGGCAGTTCCGGGAGAGCTAAGAGAACGTTCTGTAGTAGCTGAAGGAAGGGTTGTGGGTTGTTTCCCTATGGACCCTGAGCCCAGCTTTTCCACACTCCACCCTTCTGAATGCTTGACTTACTATTTCTTTGCTGTGTAGCTTGTAACGGCTTCTTTTGAAAAGGGGGGGGGTGATGGATGCTTCTTTTTCCCAGACAGGTTAGACTTGGAATATGAAGCTTAACTCCTAACTCCTGGGACAGAGACTTTGATCCAAGGGTCAAGTAGCCAACCCTGGTGACTGGTACTGCCTGGTGATAGTCACAATATATAAACGTGACTCCTTAGTGCCTGAATAGAATTTGTGACTATGTGGGTGGAAGGAGACAGCATCTCCCCCCAAAAAGAAGAAGTTCTATGAATTAGACACACATCGAAGGTAAGTTCTGTATTCTAAAAACAAAACAAAACAGTCAGCTTCCAGGCTGAAGAAATACCATCTGCCCAGGCACAGGAGTGTGAAGAGGTGTGACATGTTCGGAAAAGTCATACATTTATTCATTCAACAAATATTTACTGAGCACCTGCTATGCTCCAGACACGATCTTGGGCTGGAGGTACAACTGTGAAGAAAACACAGCCCCTGCCCTTGGAGAGCTGACATTCAAAAGAAACACAAGCAACAAACAGGTGGTAATTGGATGGCCGTAAGCCCCTTAGATGACCAGAAAGCCTTGGGAATGGAGGACTCTATGTGGCTGGCAAGGGTCAGTGTTGCCAATCCCTCAAGATCAGGGAATTTGGTGTGACAGAGGCATTTGAGCAAGTGGCTGCAGAAAATTACTGAGAGGGCCTGCTAAAGTGCCTGAGTTAGAGCTAGGAGGCTGAGGCCTTGCAGGAGTCCAGGGCACTCCAGAAAGCAGGGCTAGTTTTCTGAGGGCCTGGAGGACAGAAAACACTAGTGTCAGCTAGAGCTGGGATAGGAGACTAATGAGTCAGGGCCAGGATCACCCATCTCACCAGCATATTTCAAGTACAGGACGAACTCACACCCATTGTGGGGACTGGGAAGCAGACATCCTCAAGAACACTGAGTGTTGGGCCAGGGAATGAACGCCACCAGCCATGCCTGGAAGAATATTTTGTGAAAAAATGTAGCGACATGGTCTGAGTGGTTCCTTTTCTGAACATGATTGGGAAGAAAAGAAAAACCCGCCTCCCCCATTAGATGGTAGGAGCTGGAGATTCTACTCAGTTACCTAATCAACCATACACAATGCAAGTCTCCAAGGGTTACTGAGATGAATGCCCAGGATGCAGGATGCCTGCAAAGGCTGTGTCTGAAAGGCAGGGAGTGTGAGGCACATCAAGCAGCATGATGATTTGTGTGAGGTTTGTGCTATTATTTCTCTTTGGTGAAGGAACTAGGAGCAAAGAGAGTTACAGAAATAAGTCCATTTTGTTTGTTTGGTTGATTTCAAATTTATTAATTTATGTTTGGTCTGCAAAGACATCTGTGTACCATGTGTGTGCCTGCTGCTCTCTGATATCAGAAGAGGGCATTGGATCCTCTGGAACCAGAGTTACAAATGGTTGTGGGCCACCATGTTGGTGCTGGGAAACGAACCCAGGTCCTCTACAAGAATAGTCAGCGGTTTTGGCCACTGAACCATCTCTCTAGCTCTCATTGCACTGTTTTGTTTTTAATTATGTGAATATGCCTGTGTTGGTGCACATTGAGTACAGTTTCCATGGAGGTCAGAAGAGGGCTTTGGATACCCTGAATCTGGAGTTACAGATGGTTTTGAGCCTTTAAGTCAAGGGCTGTCTTAACCTATGGATTGCCCCCTGGGGATCAAATAACCCTTTCACATGAGCATCTCTGACCATCTTCACATCAGGTATTTACATTATGATTCATAACAGTAGCAAAACCACAGTTATGAAGTAGCAATTAAATGATTTTATGGTTGGGGGTCACCACAATGTGAGAACCACTGCTCTATGAAGATGATGAGAATTGAACCCAGGTCCTCTAGAAGAACAGCCAGTGCTTTTAACTGCTAAACCATCGAACCATCTCTCCAGCCTAGTTTTTTGTTTGCTTGGGGTTATTTTGGGATGAGGGGCATTGCCTCACTGTGTTGTTCAGGCTGCCCTACAACTCTTGGCCTTAAACAATCCCCCTGTCTCAGCTTCCTACATTGTGCCTCTCTCCTTTTCAGTTTTTGGAAAGTGCTGGGAATTGAACCTAGTGCCTTGAGGTGCTGAGCAGGCTCTACCACTAAGCTGCTAGCTTTTATTGGGACTTGTTGCTGTTGTTTGTTTTTGTTTTCTTGAGACAGGGTCTTACATGTATTCCTGGCTGGCCTGGAACTCACTATATAGACTAGGCTAGCCTAAACTTCACAGAGATCTACCTGAATCTGCCTTCCAATGCTGAGGATGAAGGCATAGGCCACTATAAATAGCCCAAGCCTTTGTTTTGAGGTAGGATCTCATGTATGCCAGGCTAGCCTTAAAGTCCCTACGGAGCCTAGGTTGGTCTTGAACTTCTGATTCCCCTTCTTTCGCATTCCCAAAGCTGGGATTAGAGGTGTTTGGTGCCCTGACTTCTGGTTTATGTGGTGCTGAGGACCAAAACTCCAGGCTTAATGAATGCTAGTCAAGCACTCTACTGAGCTACATCCTGAACTCAAATTTCCCCTGATTCTTACAAAATTTATCTCTGGCTTGTTGTTGTTGTTGTTTGTTTCTGAACAGTGATCCATCAAGTATCAGGTAGGACCACTAAATATTTTTTATCTAGAACAGCCAACCTCCCCCAACTTTCTTCTTGTGAGATCAGATCTGTGAAGAGATGTAGCCATTTACCTTAGGAACTTTTTTCCTTAACATTTATTTGGAAGGCTGAGAAATGGGGCAAAGGTGAAAAGTCTTTGCAGGATATTCACCTGAAGATTAATATTCAAAATATGTAAAGAACTTATACAACTAAACACTGGAGATCCAAAAAAATCTAACCAATAAAGGGACAAAAAGAACTGGACAGACAGTTCCCAAAAGAAGCAAGAATGCAGACCAGCCAGGTGGCAAAGCAGGGCTTGGGTCCCTGAACTCAGGTGGCTGAGGCAGGAAAAGCAGTGAAGGGAGGAAGGGGAATGGGCAAGTCAGTAGTATCTGAGAGAATAATAAGAGCCCCACGGGTATCACTCACAATAATCAAAGAAAGAGAAAAATTTAATCTAGAGCAAAGAAATTCACCAGACTGAGACAGAGGGTTCCTGACTATCTGAGACCAGCCTGGGCTACATAGTGAATGGGCCAGCCTAGACTACAGAATAAGACCTTGTGCTGAGAGAGGGATTAACACTTTCTTGTTTTGTGTCAGGGTCTCAGTATGTTCTCCAGGCTGGGCCTGAACTCACCAGATGGGCTTTGAGGATTCATGTATGCTCAAGCCATGCCCAGTGACTGTGGGCCTTTGGATCACTTCCTGTGGCCTTTGGATCAAGATGTAAGGACTCTCAGCTCCAGCACCATGTCTGTCTGCACGCTGCCTTGCTCCCTACCATAATGACAATGAACTAAACCTCTGAACTGTAAGCCAGCCCCAATTAAATGTTTTTCCTTATAAGAGTTGTCATGGTCATGGTCTCTTCACAGCAACAGAAACCCTAACTAAGACACACTTGATTCTGTTCCTTTGCTAAGAGTTTCTATCATTTCCTTCACTGTTCATGTGGTTTTTCTTATGACTTATTTCAGGGAAAGTGTGCCCCAAAATAATTTAGCACCCAAACTCCCGATAAGGTTTGTTTTGAGATAGGTTCTTGCTATATAGGCCTTGGCTGGCCTTGAACTCACAGTCTTCCTTCCTCACCGTGCCCTCTGAGTACAGGGATTATAGTCCCATCCCAAATACAAATTCTAGAACTGGTGCCATACCTGAGACTTAAAATGCATTGAATGAACTCAACAATGACCCAAGATGACAGAAGAGTCAATATATTTGTAGACAAAGTCATAAAAAAAATTATGCTACCTGGGAGTCATACATGCTGCTCAGTGGCTGAACTGAGTGCCTGATCTCCTGCCTCCATCCCTGTCAGCAGCAGATAAACAAACTACATGTGAAGATCATGGAAAAAGATGGAGTAAGGTGCACTTGTTTTGTTTGTGCATCTAAGAGTCTCAGGGACCACAGCACAGTCCCCTTCGTCCCGAGACAGTATTTGGGTCAGACTTTGGAACTATGGTGTTTTTGTTTTGTTTTGTATTTTGTTATTTGCTTGGTTTGGTTTTCGAGTCAGAGTAGTCCTGGTTGTCCTGTAACTGGATCTGTAGACCAGGCTGGCTTCAAACTCACAGAGATCCACCTGCCTCTGCTGGGATTAACCGTGTGACCACTACCAGGCTAGAACTGCAGTGTTTTGAGTGAGAAATGCTCCCCACAGGCTTAGGTATTTGGACTCTTGCTCTCTAGTTGGTGGCACTGCCTGGGGAGGCTCTGGAAGTTTT